TCATTGTTGCTCAGGAGCAGAGCATCACGAGCCAGGTGAGCCACGCTGGTTGGCCTCGTCGTGCTGCCCCGTGCGGCTGCTCCCCGCGGTCTGTGCTGGCTCTGTGCTGCCGGGGGGCTCGCAGTCAGATCTGCCCACTCTAAAACAGCACCCGGCTCTGGCTGGCTTACAGGAGGAGGCAGCGTACATCCAGGAGATCACGACTGCCGACGGACAGACAGTGCAGCACTTAGTGACATCTGACAACCAGGTGAGGGCGCATTGCATGCAGCTGAAGCAGGGACAGCAGGGAGACCTGGGGAGAAGCGGGGTGGTAAAGCGCGCAGAAGCCAGACAAGGAGCAGCTTTCTTGCAGTGCAGGGAGTGGGTGAACAGTTCTTTGGGTCTGAATCCCTGTGTTTGCAGGTTCAGTACATCATTGCCCAGGATGGCGTACAGCACTTGCTTCCCCACGAGTACGTTGTTGTCCCAGAAGGACATCACATCCAGGTAAGCTGCAGGCTGGATGTTCTTTTGTACAGGGGGTGAGGTCAGTGTGGGTGCCGTGTGCTGGGGTCACCTCCTCGTCCCTGTGGCTTGCTCTGTTTGAGTCACAACTCTGGTAGGCAGGGAAGCCTGCTGGCCCTAACACAGCCTTACTGCAGCTCTTGTCTTCAGGTTCAGGATGGTCAGATCACTCACATTCAGTATGAACAAGGTAGCCAGTTTCTCCAGGAGCCACAGGTAAGGGGGCAGGGACTCACTGCAGCAACCAGGAGGAACTCTGTGCAGTCTTGGACTCTCCTTCTGCTCTCCTCCCTGTAGATCCAGTACATGCCTGTCTCACCTGAGCAGCAGCTTGTCACCCAGGCTCAGCTGGAAGCAGCTGCACACTCAGCAGTCTCAGGTATGTCAGGGCCACACTCTGGCTGTTCTGTCTTCCTGCTGCTTGCAGGATGCCAGTCTTGAGTGGGAGCTGCTGATGCCCCTTAGCAGCTGCTGCTATGGTGCCTCAGTCCAGCTCTGCTGCAGAGGCTGCGCACTCACTGCAGCTGGTAGGGCTGCCCTGCTGCAGTCCTCAGCAGAAGGGCTGGGCTGGATGCCCCCCTGCCAACCCCTGTCCCTGTAATCTTGTGGGGGGAGGTCTTTGCTGAGCCCCACGTCGTCACCGATGCCCCTTCTCTGCAGCAGTGGCTGATGCTGCCATGGCTCAGGCACAGAGCGTGTTTGCCACGGAGGCAACGGCTGAGCAGATCCAGCAGTTGCAGCAGGGAATCCACTACGATGTCATCACGCTGGCAGATTAGCACTGGTGACAGGCCTGGCTGATGCTCAGGGACATCTGTGCTGAGCAGGACAGCGGCAGCCAGCGGGAGCCTCTACAGCCAGCAGTTGCCTTATTGCTTTGGGGCTGCGAGGGACGTGCCTGAGTGCATGCCAGCAAGAGTGTGCTGCCACTCTGCTGTGCACAGCGAGGGTCCTTCAAATCCTGCCTGGCACAGGAGGCTGCCTTGAGCAGGGACTGCACCACAGCCGAAGTGCCGGGACACTGAGCAGTGGCAGCACTCACGTGGCTCATCTCTGCCTGTTGCACTTGATGATGGTCTGAAATCCCTTTTCCCTGAATCATGTCTGTGCGGGCCAAACTCAGCATCTGCTCGGGTGCAGGGATCCCGGGGGAGCTGTCGGGCCGAGCGCAGCCACGTGGTGCAGTGTGAGATGCTGAGGTCGTTCAGCCTCAGCCCCCACTGCTCGCACCCGTGGGGCACAAGGGCCGGGCTGAGGGCAGCCTCCCTCCCTTGGCTCCTCCGGCCTGCGGGCGGGCGGCAGTAGGGCTTTGGACTGGAGGAACCTGACAGAGGAAGGGGCCGTGCAGGTGGTGGAAGGAGTTCTATTTTTTCTTTGCAAGAGGGATGGACGCTGTGGCAAAGCTGGTTTGTAAGTTGTTACGGGAGGGGTTCGATTCTGACGTTCTTAAGCTTTGGATATGCTTACGAATAAAAAAAAGATTGAAAGCTGGGTGTGTTTGTGCTGCCTGGAGGCTGGGATCCAGCATGCGTGGTGCTGCACGGCACCTGGGCCCTGTGCTATGGCTCCCTTCCACTGCGGTCACCTTGACTTCTGTGCAGCTGGAAGCAGGGGGGGCTGGAGGCATGAAATTAATCAAGTGGTAAACAGCCTAAATCCCATGTAACTCTGTCCCAAACTACACACGCTGCCCCTCCCTGAGCGGATTGTCTGGAAGTATTTACATGTGATTATAACAGCTAATCTCGGAGTTTTAGTTCTGTGCTTTTGCATTCAGCTGATTATCTCCAGAGGGGAAGAAGGCCTGCAACCACCCAGGTATCAAAAGCATCCCAGGGCAGGGATGGCTGTGCTGCTGGCCTCTTGGCGCAGCCCTGGGGGAATGAGTGCAGCAGGTGGGCTCGAACCTTAGCAGGGGTGCTGGGCAGTGCTCGAGGTCTGTTGCTGCTCCACAATCCCTGGGCAGCCCGTCTGCCTGCACCTGCCCCTTGCCCAGCCAGAATGAGGGCCATTGGTGGCTGCCAGCCTCAGCATCTGCTGGCTGCTCTGCACTGCTCTGCACCCGTCTGCCTGTGCTGGGCTCCTGCTCCAGCTGTGTCCCTCAGCTGCACACATGGCGGTGGCCCTCCCTGTCCAGCTGTGCCACACTGGGTTAACAGACGCTTTCCTAGATTACAGCCCCATTATCTAATAAAGCAGATCTGCTCCACGGGAGCACTGCACTGATTGGGGCTGGCAGAGTCCTGCGGGGACAAGGTTATGGGGCGCAAGTCGGTCCCGTCTGCCCCAGCTGTCTGCTCCCATCCAGCCCTGTTCTCCCCAGCTGTGCTGCCCCACCATCCCCACCTGGCAGGCAGGAGTCCTGGCAGCGCCGTGATTTCCGGTGTATGGGCAGATAGAGGTGGGGATGGCATGGGGTGGGTGGGAGTGGGACGTAGGGCTGCTGCTCGTGGGGGCTGTGGAGCCATGGGCCCAGGTGGGGGCTGCCACTGCCTGCAGGGAGCCCAGGGATGCTGTGGGTGAGCCCAGGGGTGCTGCAGGGCTCATTAGCTCCGGTGACCTTCCCCTTCCCGTCCCCGGCCAGCACTAAGCGGGTTTGTTACATATTTAATATCCTGAGAGCGTTATTAGTCGGTATTTAATGACAGATACAACCTGGGGGATAATCCTGCTTTGGGCGGGTGGTGTGCAAGCAGGAGATGGATGGGGGGCACAGGGACCACACTACGGCCTGCCCCCCACCTCTGGGCTTCAGTTCTACACTGCACAAAGGATCCCGGGGCTCCTCCTCCCCCTTGGCCTCTCTGCAGACAAGGATCCAGCTGTGGCCTCCTGGACACGGCCAGGACAGGGTGGCCTCAACTACTTCCTAACTGCTTCCTTGGAGAGAGCGCAGGTGGCTGAGAACTGCCCCACACTGCACTGGGGGCTCCAGGGCTGAGAATGGGTCTGACAGGGCCCAGCACTGCAGTAGGGTTCTGCATGCTACATCCCTGTGTGCAGCGTTCTTGTGCCACATCCCATCACCACTCACGGGGTGGCACTCAGCCCCCCAGTGCCCCCACTCCATGCGCAGGTCAGGGGTGCAGGTCCTGGCACACCGCTGCTCCCATCCCAGTGGTTCTGCTCCCACCCCAGCAGGGCTGCTCCCCATCTGGCAGCGCCCATCAGGGGGGCACCACCATCCCAGATCAGCACTGTGGCTTTAAGGGACACTGCCAGGGCACTAATACACCAATCAGCCTCCCGCCACCAAGGACCCCACCCCGATATAAAGCCCCGGAGCATCTCCCAGCTGCACTCCAGCAGCATGGCAACGCCTCAGAGTAAGGGGAACCCCAACCAGGAGCTGAGGAGCTGCGGGGGACCATGGGGAGCACTACAGGGCCCCCCGCCCACCCTGTTGGCCTGCCCCGTGCTGCCCGGGTACCACCTGCTGCCACCACCCCTCCGCCTCTTGACGCCTATGGTAAGCGATGCCCAACAGCTCTCGGGGGCCTGGGAACCCCTCCAAGCCTGGGGAGCTGCAGCCCCCCCCCAACCCCAACCCCTGTGTGCCTGCAGGTCCCTCCGCCCTGCGCGGTGCCCACAGGGCTGTGCCCGCCGTGCTGCCAACAGCCCTTGCCCGCTGAGCCAGGGCGGGTGAAGGCAGGAGCAGCACGGGAGAGCAGCGCAGCATTGAAAGCCTGGCTGGCCCGGCACCCCCGCAATCCTTACCCCAGCAAGGGTGAGAAAGTGATGCTGGCCGTGCTCAGCCACATGAGCCTGACGCAGGTCTCCACCTGGTTTGCCAACGCGCGCCGGCGCCTCAAGAAGGAGAACCGAGCAGGATGGGCGACACGCGGCACGGAGGACAGCGAGGAGACCCTGTCACAGCCCCCCCCCAGCCCTCAGCAGATTGGGAGCGGGAGCAGCCCCATAGGGGTAACAGGTCCAGGGAAGGGTGAGCAGCTGCACAAACCCAAGATCTGGAGTCTGGCAGCAATGGTGGCACCTGGCCCTGAAGAGAGCGGGGGGGATAGGGGCAGGAATGGGGCAGGAGTGGGGCAGGAGTAGGGCCCAGACCCTGACCAACCCCCGCCCCCCATGAAACCCCAGTGCCACAGCAGAAATAACTGCTTTGGTGCCCACTCTTCATCTGCCACAACCCAGGGCCACCACCACTCAGGGCTGAGGAGGTTCAGAGAGCACACAGCACTGTATGATGGGGGCAAACAGGGGGACAGGGACACAGAGGGATGGGGACGGGGGGGAATGGGAATGTGCACACAAGGGACAAGGGAGGGAGAAGGTGACAGAGGGCATCAGGAGGTCCTGGTCAGGGGAGGGAGAGGGGACCACAGGATGTGGAAGGTGAGGGGTACGGGGCAGAGCTGAATGCTGCTTTTTAATGTTCCTAAGAACTAGGAAACAGAAATAAAAAATAGACTTTGCTCTTCTTGATAAAGGTAATAACATGGTTAGCGGTGTTAAATTAATCCCTAAAAAATAAAAACCACAGTGACTACAAAACAGCTGCAAAGACGTCTTTACACACCAAAGGAATCGCTCTCCTCCGCTCCTCTCCGGTACGGTACACAGCGTCGGCCGGCACGGGACTCACACACGTGGGAAGGGAACGCGGTGCGACGGGCACAGCCCTGCCGGGAGCTCAGGGACACAGACAGAACTATTTACACTATGGACACGGCGGTGCTGGCGCCAGTCCGGCCGCAGGACCCCGGGCTCTGCCCGCGCTTCTCCTGCACGCGCCGGGCTGCGGCCGCCGCTGGGGCCCTTCCAGGTGAGCACCGAGCATCGCGCCGCCCTCATCTGCAGAGCAGGAGGAGCTGAGAGCCGGCCGAATGCTTGCAGGCTGTAAGGAGTCGAGAATGGCAGCGCCGCGCACGGCTGGCGCTCAGCACCAGGACAACGCGCTCCGACGTGTCCCCAGCACGGGCGCAGGGCTCGGCCGCGCGGGTCAGGGTGAGGGGAAGGCGCAGAGCTCCCGGCACAGGCACTGGCAGAGGCTGCAGGAGACGCAGAGCAGCAGGGCGGCGGGCAGGAGGCTGACGAGCGCGAGGCCCAGGCCGTGGTGCTGGCTGAGCAGCAGGTAGATGCCGAGGGGCAGCGAGCTGCAGTACAGCAGGCACAGCGTGCCCAGCAGGCAGCGCGGGGCGGCTCGGCACCTCCGGGCGCGGCTCTTCCGCCGGCTCTGCAGCCGGACCACCTCCAGAGCGCCCAGCGCCTCCGTGGGCACCGCGCCCGCGGGCACCTCCAGGATGGTGAGCACCAGGCAGTCCTGGCCGGGCGAGGGCTGCAGCACGCTGGGGGACAGCAGGACCTCGGGGGGCGAGGGGGGGTCCCGCTCACGGCGCGTCGGCGGCGCCGGCCCCTCGCCGTCGTCCCGCGGCCGTCGCGCGTCCTCGCCGGGCACCGGGCTCTGCCGGCGGCAGAAGGGGCAGCGAAGTCGTCGGGGCGACGCGTCCCCCAGGGCCACCATCCGGCGCAGGCATCGGGCGCAGAGGCGGTGGCCGCAGAGGAGCACCGTGGGTCGGCGGGCGCGGGCGTCGTAGCGGCTGTAGCAGATCTGGCACTCCGGCTCCTGGTCGGCGAGCTGACAGCCGCCCCGCGCCTCGTCCTCGCGGGCCATGGGGACGGGACCTGGGGACGGGAAGCCCCCGATCACAGCGCTGCGGCCCGCGGCCAGAGCCCGGCTCAGCCCCGCGGCGGCCCCCTCCCCAGCCGCGGCTCAGCCCGGTTCCCACCGCCGCCCGCACCGCTCAGCCGCTCTGCGGCCCCCGCGCCTGGGCGGGGGATTTCCCGAGGGCGGGGAGCTGCTCCGCACCGCACGGCGTGGAGCCCGGGGTCCTCGGCGCGGCTCGCCCCCATCGCGCACGGCTCCCCGCGTTCCTACGGCGCGGCGCCGCCCCCCTGCGGCCCCCCCGGCTCCCGCTCCCTCCCGTACCTGCGGGGGCTCCGAGGGGACAGGGGGGACCGTCCCATAGGGAGGCGAGGGAAGCGCTGCGGGGCCGGCACAGCCGCAGGGACCGCCGGCATCCGCCGCGCCGTTGGCCTGGCAACGCGGAGCGGGAGGAGGGGGTGGGGGGGTGGACGGATGCTCGGCTTCTTGGCTGAGCGCGGCACCGCAGCTCGCGGGCTGCTGCAGCACGGGCGAGCAGCTCCCTCGTTTGACCATCGTGACACGGCGATTAAATACTTAATGAGGTAATCGGCCATCACCTGAGGGAAAGAGACAAAGGACCCCCCTCCTGCTCCTTTCGAGCATCGGCGCGTGCCGGCGGTCAGCTGCGTTTCAGGAACAGCCTGCCCTGCTTCCGTGTAAGGAGAAGGGGAAAAGTGCTTTGTAAGCTGCTCCCTTCGCTGCTGGAGTTCTCCGGTCTCCCCTGAGTGTCACTGAAGGTCAACTACCTCACCGTAGTGGGAAGCATCCCTGGAGAACCTGATCCTCTTTGTACCCAGCAGACCATACACAGCCTGCAGCCATTTCCTGATCCTGCTGCCCCCAAATGCTTCCCTGCCTCAGGTCACCATGGAATTCTTTATGCTGTCCTTACTCGGGTCTTTCAGCCTCTCCTCTTTTCTACAGCATGAGTCCCTGCTCCAGGACCTGCAGCTTTTTATACACTGCACAAAACCCAGCCCCCTTTTTGTAGGCACACAAAGATATGAGGCATCTCAGCGCTATTCCAGCAAAGCCACCCATGCTTTCATGACCAGTATCTTTTCTTGACAGCATACCTTCTATCACTCCATATTCCAGGCAAAACATCACTCCACATTCTGGGTAAAATACTACAAGTTCCTCAAGAACTTCCCACTGTTGTGCCATGTAGGTTCAAAGTATGGGCTGTGCCAAACTAAGAACCAGAACCCTTTTTCTTCTATCAGAGGGAGACGGAGGTGAAGGCATGGGATGAGTGCAGGCCCCAGGCCAACAGATGAGGAAAGGCACTGACACGGGGCAGAGCTGAATGCTGGTTTTTAATGTTCCTAAGAACTAGGAAACAGAAATCAAAAATAGACTTTGCTCTTCTTGATAAAAGTAATAAAATGGTTAGCGGTGTTAAATTAATCCTTAAAAAACAAAACCCACGGAGGTTAAATACAACCCAGAGGCTCTGCATAAAAACCACAATGACTACAAAACAGCTGCAAAGACGTCTTTACACACCAAAGGAATCGCTCTCCTCCGCTCCTCTCCGGTACGGTACACAGCCGGCACGGGACTCACACACGTGGGAAGGGAACGCGGTGCGACGGGCACAGCCCTGCCGGGAGCTCAGGGACACAGACAGAACTATTTACACTATGGACACGGCGGTGCTGGCGCCAGTCCGGCCGCAGGACCCCGGGCTCTGCCCGCGCTTCTCCTGCAGCTGCCAGGCTGCGGCCGCCGCTGGGCCCCTTGCAGCCGCGGCGCCGGGCCTGGTGCCGGCCGTCCCTCTCGCTGTCCTTCCACCCTTAGAGCGCGTCCCGGCTCCGGCCGCCCCTTCCATCCACGTATGGGCAGCCACGGGGCCGCCCGCTCCTCCTGCCGCCCGCACGGGGGTCGCCGGCCCTCCAGCCGGGCCGTGGCCCAGCTCCTCTCCCCGGCGGCAGCCGGGCGCTCCTGGCGCTGCTGGTTCGCAGGGGAAGGCGGCTGCCGTGAGCTGCTGGGCAAGAGTTCCCCGGGCCGGTGCTGCGCAGCCAGCAGTCTCTCCGCCTGCCCGGCGAGCCTCCTCGGGGCCGCCGGCACCTCCCTGCTGCCTCTCACCTCTGCCTCAGTTAGCGTTGGTCTCCCGGCTGCTGCTTTGCTCCCGGCCCAGCTCTCGCTCCTTGTCTGTGGAGGAGGTGGACGAGGAGGAGGAGGACGACGAGGAGCTGAGGGTGCGGCCCGAATGCTTGTAGGCCGCCACGAGTTCCTGCAGCCGCTCTGGCGTGGGCTCCCACTTGGCAAAGCCTGCGCTGTTCTGCAGGAAGAGGACGGCGGTGTTGTGCACAGCCTTGTAGTACATCTCCTCCCTGCAAGGAAAGACAGCAGGCACTCAGCATCTCCCGGCAGCCCGCCTGCCCGTAAGACACCACTACGCTTCCCTGCCGCCTGCCTCTCCTCTTCCCGCTTGTAGGCTTTAGGACAAGTATTCCCCTCTGCCCTTTTCACTCATTATCACGTGGAAAAGGAGAGTGCCTTCCTTCTGCCTCCTTCTGAACAGTACTGAATTGCTGAGCCTCTCTGGCATTTGGCAGCCCAGGAAACACTGCTCAGCTGCGGCTTGCCAAATGAGAGCTGGCAGAGGGACACGGAGCATCACCGCAGCACTACATGACATAAACAGTTCATACTGGACTTGTACCCAAGAAACACATCACTCAAATCTTTTAATTAGCAAAACACCTCAGCAGTCATTAAACAAATGCGAAAATCCACAACACTGTGGATTCTACACCTCTTAAAAACCCAGGACGATGACGCACTGCACAATCTTTCCTCTTCCCTTCCTTCCTTCGATTCCCACTGAGGTATCTCAGTCACACAGCTTCCCCGAGAGGCAGCTCATCAGAAGGGCACCCTGCAGGGACCCCAAGGGAAGGCCTACTTTTTGCAGACATGCTGAGACCCGCTGCGGTATTCGTGATCGAAGGCTGACAGGATGAGCTGGTGCCTCTTGAACTTGCTCTGCTCCATGCGGGTCAGGGCGGGCGTGGGAGGGTCCCTCCACTCAGGGATGAAGACAATAAAGGACAGGGGCTCACTGGAACTCTCCAGCAGTTTCTAGTCCAAAAAGAAAACCAATCTTAGTCTCGGCTGAGCAATGACAGGCCTACTGCCTTCTAGGGAAAGGAAAAGTTCTGCTTCCAGAGCAGTACAGCAGCAGTGACAGCCCTGTGCTTTTTGAATGACAGCCTTGTTGTGAGCACACAGTGGGGAGCAGATGACCGCACGGCTCCGTTCAGAACAACACAGCAGAGTGAACATACCTCAAAGTGAGAGACCATGGCATCCATCAGCTCCTCACAGAACGGAGGATTTGCCTCAAAAGACCCACTTATAGGGAAGAAATCCAGGCACGGGCTACAGGAAAAAGACAAAGATCACCATCAGGCAGGTTAGACACCTGATTATTGGACCTTAAAAAACATTCGTTCCCTCGCAGACGACACTCATGCTCAGAAGGACTGAATTCTCAGCAGTACAGGGCTGCCACTCCTCCACAGCACAGACAGCCACTGGGACACATTCCATCTGTGGTCACTGAAGGCTGACTGCTGATGCAAGCCGACTGCCTGAGGGCCCACTCCCTCCTTTCTTCAGAACAAGGGCAAACACTGGCAGATCTATAAACTGCAGCAGACAGCTCTGGCTGGACCAGTGGCACACTGCTGGTTGTTTCAGCGCCGATCTGTGCTCGCTCCCTGCTTTCAGTGGGCCTGAAGCACACGTCCTTCTGCTCAACTACTGCCACGAGCTGCCAACGCGTCAGCCTGTCCTGAATCACTGCTCTGCACACGTGCACCCACACAGACACACAGCAAAGGGCACCAGAACACAAGACTCACCCCCTGGATCCAAAATACCCGTCTGTATCCAAGAAGGCCGAACAGTACTGTTTAAAATAGCAATTCAGTGGCGAGGCAAAGCATTCAAAACTCACTCCAAAGAGCTTGTGGAGGGCTTCAAAGACGTGCACGGGAAGTGCCCCCTGCAGGCCAGTTCCTTCATACAGACCCACACCGAACATCATCTGAGGAGAGCAAACCCCGGTGAGTGGTGCCTGCACTTGCTATTGCTGCTGCTCCCTTCACGGAATATGGACTGAGGCCTACATGTCCACACACTCACTCCTCCAGGTATGCAGGGCCCCCTCGTCCTCTCTCAAATTCAGTAGGTCCCCTGAATGAACCTAGGAACGCTCTTTAGATACTTTCTTCAGCTCAGGTCCTGTCAAACCAACTGTCAGTTTTTACATGCATTCCCCAGGAGCCTTCAGTTAGGCTTTACAAAAACGTCAATGACTACTGAAAGCTCTTTGTTACAATTTATCCCCACCACTGACTCAGTTTAAGCCCTATTTTGCACTCTGAGAGCTGCAGACCCCTCAGAGCAAAAGTTCAGTTCCCCAGGTTTTTTGATGCACAACAACAGCAACAACAAGTACCTGGTATCGTCGGAGAAGGCACCAAACCCTGGGTAGGAACTTTTCAAAGCCAGAGTCATCAATGCAACTGTACCGGTAGAGAAGCCACTGGAAGAGAAGGCCCAGCCATTAAAAACAAACAGTACCAACAAAGATTGATACAGCCAGAACACAAAACGTATCGTGACATGAGAAGAAACACCGATGAACGAAAGGAGCAGGCAGGGTTCTGCATGAAGGCTTTTCAGCTCATCTGCTCTTACTGTGGGAATGAACTGCAAGCTATCCACTAGCACGAATGAATGTAACACATCAGCAAGTCTCTCTCAGCAAGGGCTGCCTCGTTGGAGTACAACCATTCTTGCAGCACAGCATGTACCAAAGCATACACACAACAGCTCCTAAGTACTCCCAGCAGAAGGCTGACCCTGACTAAGGAAAATGAAGCTGTCCTCATCCGTGCTACTATTAGGGCAACACCAGACAGCCTCCACAGGGCAGCGCTGTGTCCAACTGCTCGGTCCCTTCTTGGAGGAAAAGGAGAAATGAAAGCTCTCATGAAAGAGCACTGTGCAGCAGCAGTCATGCAGGCGTGGCAGTCAGCTCTTACCAGCTTGCTGAAGTAGTTGCGGCTCACTTTCACCATTTCCCCCTTGTACCGCACACATGCCACATTGTTTTCCATGTGCATTTCCACACTGGGGAGTGGTGGGGAGGGGATGGCCAGTCTCACTGGGTAACAGTACACGAGCCTGTCCTGGACTTCAGGAGCTTCTACCTCAGCTATGGAGAATAAAGAGCAAGGCAGCCCATTAGAATCCAGGGACATCTGGGACGGGTCTTCCTTCCACCTCGGAACGTGCAGGAGTAAGGCTGAAGAGCAAAGTAATCTCTCCAAAGCACAGGGGTGGTCCTTCACAGATCACGTAGGCAGCTACCTAAGTTCAGAACTGATTCCCAAAATTCCATCACCCACAGAGCACGGAGAGGAACCACAGCACAGCACTTCTCCATCTGTAACGCAGTCAACCTGTAGACGTCGTGCAACCATTCCAGCACCATCAGGCATGCTCTGGGTGAGTAAAACAATTTCCTTGCTGTCACTGTTATTTCAGTTTGCTCCAAAGTTATTTGAAAACCA